ATATTTAACCCTCTCAGGGTTTCCGATGTACTGGTACGGCTTACACACCAGGGTTATTGACGTACTAGAAATCTAGTGAAAGAAGGCTGGTAGGCCTAAATATGAAAGAATGGGTCTATGTGGTCAGTGTGCACAGTATAAAAAAAAATCCTGCAGCACACAGTGCATGAAGAGAAAAAAAGATCTGACCGGTTTTTGGTTTAAAACAGCGGCTTTGCAGTGTATTTTCGTATGATATTTATGGTTGTATTCTAGTTTTCCTGGTCTCATTTTATAGAATGGAAGACATATTACAGAAATTGAGATGATTTTGATTAGTTTCATAATGAAAAGTACCTTGAAATTGAGCTCAAAGTAGCAGAAATGTTCGATTTTTACCAAATTTCAAAAGTAAACAAATCATGCCAAGCGTCCAATACATGTCAACTGGCGAGTCTGATATTCTTTCACTAGTGCACTGATATTATTTATACCATTTCTACACTAATGCAGTAGTCTGCATAACAGTAAATCTTCTATTTTTTGTGAGAATAAAAATTCAAATTGGAAAGCAAAATAGATGTAAGAGGGGCATGGGGACGTGACTAATGAACAGAGAAAGATTATTTTAGTGCCAGGAATGTCTGTCTTGCTTATTCTGGACTATTTGGAAATTGGCATCTTCTGAAATTTGTGTGAAATTATCAAAATTGCCAATTTCTGACCACTTTATTGGATAGTTGAAATCAGTAAATGGATGGTTTCTTGTACTCGCTCGATAGAAAAAATGGAGTTCTAGTGAAATAGATATGATTTTTGTCAACTAGTACACTGAAATTGGCCGAAAACAGGGCTCAGAGTGTGTGAAATCACCAATGCGTCAACATCGTCGAGACCACTAACTTCGTGAGAGCATAATTCCGTAAGTTTTCCCATCAAATTTCTTACTTTTGTCATTATGATCGGGAAAAGATTCTCTATCATTTCATGAGAAAAAATAATTTTTTTTTTTTTTCCAAAATAATTTTCGACCCTGAGAATGAGTTTAGGAGAGGGCCTCTCGACCCTGAAAGGGTTAAGAATCGTAGTGCGATACACAGTGTGATAAGGCATGGTGAGGCTGCTAGTTCTGATAAAAAAGCGGCTTAAAAATATGTTCAGGAATGAAAAAGGTACATAGAAGCTAAAAAATTCAAACCCCAACAAGTGTTCAATTGTGACGAAACAGGCCTCTTTTGGAAGAAAATGCTAGAGGACCTACATTACTCAGGAGGAAAAGGCACTCCCAGGACAAGCCTATGAAAGACTAACTCATGTTTTGTAGTAATGCTAGTGGGAATTCAAAATGAAGCCTTTACTGGTGTATCACTCTGAAAATTCCAGAGTGTTAAGAGAAACAGTGTCATCAAGAGTAAATTGTGTGTGCTGTGGAAGGCAAACAGTAAGGCATGGGTCATGAGGGACATTTTTCCTTTATTTGTTTAATGACATGTTTGGCCCCAGTGTGAAGAAATACCCCCTGGAAAATAAATTGGAACTCAAGTGCCTCCTGGTAATGGACAATGCTCCTGCTCATCCTCCAGACTTGGAAGAGCAAATGGTGCAGGAGTTTCGTTTCATCAAAGTTAAGTTCTTGTTCCCTAATATCACTCCTCTCCTCCAGCCCATGGACCAGCAGGTCATTTCAAATTTCAAAGCAGTGTTTCAAAAGTGCTTTGAAATGACCTCAGACAGTGAATTGACTAAGTGAGTTCTGGAAAGATCACTTCAATATCCTCCACAGCATAAACCTTATAGGTAAGGCTTGGGATGGAGTGACTTCCAGGACTTTGAACTCTGCTTGGAGAAAATTGTGGCCACAATGTGTACAAGAGAAGGATTTTGAAGGGTTTGGGGCTGACCCTGAGGAGCCTATGCCAATTGTTTATTCTCTATAAGGGTTACAATGTGGGGTTTACAGGATTTGGATATTGTGTGGTTTACATGTTATAAAATACTAATTACAGAGGGGGCCACTAGGACATCTAGCATGGCTAGGCATTTCGGGCAGACTTAGATTAATTCTTAACATTAAATCCTTACAGATTATGGTATTAAGGCTAGGCGACTGCATCCTACTCCACAAACTTGACCATTATGGTATAGTGGACCATGCACTTGCACATTTCAAATCTTACCTTATTAATAGGCATTAGTATGTCACCATTAAAGACACAGCATCATCAACATGGCCACTTGATACTGGAGTTCTGCAGGGAAGTGTCCTTGGACCCCTGCTCTTCCTCATTTACATCAATGATCTTCCAAACGTATCCCAACACCTGAAACCCATTCTCTTTGCTGACGACACGACTTGTCATCTCTCACCCTAATCTTGCCACCCTCAACACCATTGTTAATGAGGAGCTGCTCAAAATATCAACTTGAATGACAGCCAATAAACTTACACTTAACACTGACAAAACCTACTATATTATGTTTGGTAGGAGAGCAGGTGTTGCGCAGCTTAACAGTAAGATCGACAACACTAATTGCCAGACAAAATGAGGGCAAATTCCTAGGCCTATACCTTGACAACCTGAATTTCAGCACCCATATCCAACACATATCAAAAAAAGTATCTAAAACAGTTGGGATCCTCTCCAAGATATGATACTACATGCCGCAAAATGCCCTTCTCACACTATACCATTCACTCATTTATCCATACCTCACCTATGCTATTTGTGTTTGGGGATCAACTGCAGCAACACACCTAAAGCCAATAATAACTCAACAAAAAGCTGCAGTAAGAATAATCACTAAATCCCATCCCTGGCAACCCCCCCACCCCACTCTCTATAGATCTAAACTTACTCCCTGTTCAGAACATCCACACTTACTACTGTGCAATCTACACGTACAGGACCTTAAATTCCAATATTAACCTTGATCTAAAATGCTTTCTTGATAGTTGTGACAGGACCCACAGGCATAACACCCTGTCAACTAACTACATAAAAACCACCTGGTGGTTCACACTTACACCCACTCACCCATTTGACTATAAGCACAGAAATACGTATCTTGATCTTAAAATAATGATTCCTAACTAGTCATAAGTTTGCCTGTGATACTCCAGTATAGAAACTATGTATTGTGCCAAAACAAAAGCATTCACATTGCTAAACTCACAAACTAGTACATGTATTTAGTCACTTAGTGTTTAGTCAACTTACTCCACAATTTGTAATAATTTAGGGTTAGGAATTAATCTAAGTTTGCCCGAAATGCCGAGCCATGCTAGGTGTTCTAGTGGCCCCCTCTGTAATTAGTATTTTATTACATGTAAACCACACAATAACCAAAATCTGTAAACCCCGCATTGTAATCCTTATAGAGAATAGACTTTGATTGATTGATTGATTGACTACGTATACACCCATGAACATATCCTCCTCACAAGAACACTGAAGGATTGACAACCGTATGTAGTGTATCTTGAGTTGGGTAACATTTGAACGTGGGAGTGAATAGGAGAGAAGGAGATAGATGGGTGGGAGTTCAGTTGCTACCTGCCCCTACACATCACCCCATTTCTCCCACAACACTTAACTACAGCATAAGAGAAAATGATGTACGTATGTAAAAAACAAGGGGCTAGTAACTCCTCCTCCTGTATAAATTACTACATGTAAAAAGAAAAAAAATGCTTTTCTTTTTGGGTCACCCTGCCTCAGAGGGAGACAGCCGGTACATTAAAAAAAAACACTAGCAAGGGGTGTGTGTGTGTGCAGTCTACTTGGCGAGGCAGTACAAGCATAGTATGTACTCTGTGCCTCGCGCCTTCTCACAGATAAGGCACAAGGCATTTACGCTGATTTACTTCGAGATATTGGCCCAAAATGCAGGCTGATCTCCGGACTCCAGGGGGAAAAAAATCTGAGAAAATTGCTTTCGTTTCAGTGTTTTCCTTACGAAATTAGTGATCTAGTGCAGCCAGCCTCACAAACACTCCATTTTCTCTTAAAAAATAAGGCCTCAGAAGGGCAAGAATGGGAAGATATGGTCAGAGCGATAATTACTTTTACCTCGGGAGTGGCCGCCACCACTCGTCACATAATGACATTCATTCTGGAGTATATATCATGTTTTTACAATTTATATTGTTTATTATGTCATATTAGATCAATTGTGGTTGATAAATAAGCTGTAGAGTTGATATTAGCGTTATATTGAAGTATTTTCTCCTGCCTCCTGAGAGCCAGGAATTCCGCTGGAATGGATTAATGGCATTTCCGTTAATTTCAGTGAGGAAAATTGATCTAATATATGAGCAAACTGAGTTACGAGCTGGGTCGTGGAATGAATTATACTCGCAAGTCAAGGTATCACTGTAGTTTTTAATTGAAATAAATATGTAAATATTCTTGGGAAAATCAAAATCAGATGCAGAATATTATGGCTCAGAGGGGCAACTCCAATTATGACAAGTGTGTATGGTAATATAGGTTCAGGTTCAAAACACACATGTTAGAAAAGAATTCATTACCATTACAATTGAAGTGACCTAATCCACAGTAATGCACCCTCATACCATGCAATGATGCAGAGCCCTGCATCCCCTGCTACAAGAAAAATGGAGCCTGGCCTGCAAACCTATCCCATATACTGCACTTACCTTTACTTTTAACACAACAAATGTAAAAAAGTATGTGAGGGCCCAGCTTATACAGCAGGTTAGGTCCTGGGCTATCGCTGTTAAGCAAAAATCAATGTAAAGTGAAGAAGCCTTTTTTCACATGTTTATACTATCAAATATTAAGTGAGAAACAGAGCTAGGTCTAAAAAATCCATATACAGTACACACATTACTTACCTTAAAATATTTTAGTACTTAGCTTATAGTGAGTGGTGAACATATTTATCATAGGTAATTTGAATAAATGAAGAATGGGTATAACTGAAAACCACTGTATTAGCAAATTGCTGCACAGCAAAGCCCTCCTTAACAGGCATGCAGAATTTGTTTGGAAACTTACCATCTGGCATATTGTCAAGACAGGCAGCCAAAAGATTGTAAAGTGTGCCTGAGGTGATGTCTCTCTTCTTACCCACTGGGTTTCCAGTAGAAGCCTTATTGTCCGTAGTACAAATGACAGAGGACAATTTCTGACGTAGACAAGATGACAAGGTTCCTCCAGAGTCTTTCTTCCGATTTTCCTCCTTTGAGTTTCCAGTGGTTGGCCTACTATTTGGGGGACTTCCCAGACCACCATCTAAAATGGAGATCTGCAAAAACATGCAACCTTTAAGTTTACATCATACAACTACTTGCATCACATTTACTCTGCCACGTATAAAATAGCATGTTATTAAAAAATCCTGGATGTCTGGAAAGATAAATAAAGTAGGAAAATTTACATTTGAATAAAATATGCACCATTATTTAGGTAGTAGGTGGTAAACAGCAACCACCCAGGGAGGTACTACCATTCTGCCAAGTGAGTGTACAACGAAAGCTTGTAATTGTTTAACATGGTAGGATTGCTGGTGTCCTTTTTTCTGTCTCGTAAACATGCAAGATTTCAGGTACGTCTTGCTACTTCTACTTACACTTAGGTCACACTACACATACATATACAAGCATATATATACACACCCCTCTGGGTTTTCTATTTTCTTTCTAGTTCTTGTTCTTGTTTATTTCCGCTTATCTCCGTGGGAAGTGGAACAGAATTCTTCCTCCGTAAGCCCTGCGTGTTGTAAGAGGCGACTAAAATGCCGGGGGCAAGGGGCTAGTAACCCCTTCTCCTGTATAAATTACTAAATTTAAAGAGAGAAACTTTCGTTTTTCTTTTTGGGCCACCCTGCCTTGGTGGGATATGGCTGGTTTGTTTAAAAAAAGGCACCATTTTTTTTTTAAATATCAGTGTTTACAGTGGCTTGGGTGCCCCCAATGCTTACTGCCAGGACGGTACAGTCAGGCATTATGACCTGTAACGAGTTTGAATGTCAGTAGATGTACACATGATGAGCACAACAGATTTCTGAAGCACCTGATGTGTAGCATCTACCTTGGCCTGCCTTCTAAGACCTACCCAGTGACCCCTCTGACTCTCTTCCACCAAAGTAGGGTGACCTAACAAAGAAAACATTTTCAGTGTCACTCATTCCATCACTGTTTGCCAGAAGGGTGCCAACATCTTGGTTCAGATGCCCATCCAAAATGCAATATCCCCATCCCTCCTTCGAGGTGCAGACACTGTACTTCCCACCTCCAGGACAAGTCCAGTTAACCAGTTTTCATGAACCCTTCATGTTACTGTGTTCATACTCCAACATGTCAAACCTTAAAAACCACTTGCCTCCACTCACTCTTATTTAATAAGCTCACACAAGCCCAATGGATGCCCAACTTCCCCATCCTCATGCAGTTCTATATATCATTAAGGCCTTTCTTATATTATATAGCTCAGTTATGGTCTCCATTCTACAGAACAGATACAAATGCATTGGAGCACATACAGAAAAGGATGACAAAATCCACTGTATAAGGAATCTTTCGTATGAAGATAGATTGAGGACCTTGAACCTTCACTCTCGTGATACACAGAGAAAGAGGGAAGACATGATTCAAATATATAAATGAATGATGAGCATAAATATACATAAAGGCAATACAAATAGGGCATCAAGGATATCTAACCAAGAAACAAGTGAAAGGAGTGGATTCAAATTGGTTAAATTTAGATTTAGAAGGGACTGGTTTGGCAATAGTCAACGAGTGAACAATTTGTCAGGTAGTCACTAAAGCTACAGCATTAGGTAGCTTTAAAAATAGTTTAGACAATATAAGCAATAAGGGATGAATTTGAATGGGGCCTGTGGAGCACAAGTTAACAAGGTTATTGAAGCTTAAATTTAGGGTAGTTTTAAAAATAGGTTGGATAGATAACTGAGTGAGAGGAGGAAATTTTTGAGAGGGAACCTTCCAAGTATGGGTCTGCTGCAGCATTCCTCCTTTCTCATGTTCATATGTTCTTATGCCAAGTGAATTGCAGCATTACTTTCATGTCAGATTATTAAGGAGTCGAGACCTCTTTGCAGCACCAACTTGGGCCTATACCTGATTAATAAAGTATCTGAACACGCATCACTCATGCTCAGCTGAATATCCAGAGAAGGGAGAGGATGGCTACAGCTCTTTGAATTAAGAACAATTTATCATGTCAAGACACCTGCCTCTCACCATTAAAGTGAGAATATTCTATACCTGGAGAGGTTAGGTTAGATATAAAATATGTACTTAATATTAACAATGTAGCTGATGAGCTCAATAGGAACATGAAACATGACATTATATTCATGAGAATTGGTTATTTTCTTTTTCTTAAATCAGTATTTCCTGCATGCTACAAACCTTGTCTGGTTGAGGTTTCTGGTTAGGGATGCGTAGGGTTGAGACTGAGGTAGTAATCTTCTTAATATCTTGGGTGAGAGGATGATGAGACTGTGACTGGGGAAGCAATGGCGGGTGTTGTAGTTGTTGCTCTGGCATTGACACAGACTTCCCAATAACTTCTAAACCGAACTTTGGCACCTGGGTACAGGCAGAGGCAGGTAGAGACCGTGGCACTACACCTGGAAAGATAATACTATTACTAGACCTGTAGAATAATACTCAGCTCAGATTTAAGTGCCAGAGAAAAATGAATATAGTGATAAATGACCCATATGAATTTAGGACCTGATGGTGAAAAAAGTATGTTAATAATGATACTTTTCGATATGAAAATAACCCCATACTATTTCCGCATTTGATGTAGCCACTGATTTTGAATAAAAATACACCTGTTGTATATATTTAGTAAATGTATAAAAAAATTCCCTCATTTATGTGCTGTATGTACATTTTCTCTAACTAAATTTGGAGATTTACAAAACTGCCAAAAACAGTGTCCAAGACACAGGACAACATGCACTTTAATGTAATTATACAAGATAAAAAATAAATACTGTCTAGCAAAAAAGTGTATCACTTGTCAGCACTGCAAAACAAACCACACTTAATCAATAAAGAGAAAGTATTATATACAGCCTCTCCTCACTTAGTGACATACTTGTTTACCAACAACTTGGACTTACGATGGGCGCTCTGATCAGTATGCATACCTAAATAATGTATATTAGAGCTGTTTATTACAGTATATAGTAGACTACTGTATAAACATTTAAAAATTTACTAAAAATTTTATAAATGGTGCAAAGGTGACATTAAAACAATATCAAAGATGGTTGACACAAACCCACTACCATTTTATGTTCCTTAGTGACGAATTCGTATACTGACATGGTCTTAGGAATGGAACTCGTCGTTAAGTGAGGAGAGGCTGTATAGTATTTGGGCCTCATACTGTGGCCCTCTTCAGCAGACTTCAAAAGGACGACTTCAAAAGGACTATCTGATCCAGATATACACTGTGCTCATCATATCTTGTTTTACTGTCACCCATGCGAGTTCAGTTGCTGAAACTATTTGTATAACAGTTATGCCTTCAGCCACTAACAAAAAAATTGTATAAACCAAGTAACATGTGACATGCGCCACACACCTGTGGTGAAAAATTCATGATTGAGGACCTGGTCCAGCCTCGGACGTGCATTGGGGTCAGGATGGAGGAAGCGTCTGATGAGGTGCCTGGCCGGCTCGCTGATCAGTGGTGGAATGACATATTTATTTGTGGTGATTCTAGAGTAGGTTTCCTTCAAGGTGTCAGTTTCAAATGGTGGCTGACCCACAAGAAGAGCATACCTAGGGAGGATTCAAGAATTTAATCTTCTTTCACAATGAAAGGTTGGTTCCACAGGTATTAAATATATAGCAACCAATCATACGTGTTAAATATATAGCAGTTTGCATGATATATAAATATTAGCTTATCATATGGAGTAAACATACAAGGTTATAATGGTCTTAATTCAACAGCCTTTCTCGGATCAAACCTGATCACCTCCCATTTTTCTGGAGCAGTATGACCCCTACAGGTTTAGCTCTTCCCCATGGAGAGAGAGAGAGAGAGAGAGAGAGAGAGAGAGAGAGAGAGAGAGAAAGAGAAAGAGAAAGAGAAAGAGAAAGAGAAAGAGAAAGAGAAAGAGAAAGGAGAAAGAGAGAAGAGAGAAAGAGGGAAAGGAGAAAGAGAAAAAAGAAGAAAGAGAGAAGAGAGAAAGAGAGAAAGAGGAAAAGGAGAAAGAGAGAAGAGAAAGAGAAAGAGAGAAAGAGAAAGAGAGAAAGAGAGAAGAGAGAAGAGAGAAGAGAGAAAGAGAGAAAGAGAGAGAGAGAGAGAGAGAGAGAAGAGAAGAGAGAGAGAAGAGAGAGAGAGAGAGAGAGAGAGAGATAGAGATAGAGATAGAGAAGAGAGAGAGATAGAGATAGGAGAGAGAGAGAGAGATAGAGATAGAGAAGAAGAGAAGAGAAGAGAGAAAGAGAGAGAGAGAGAGAGGAGATGAGAGAGAGAGAGAGATGAGATGAGAGAGATGAGAGAGAGATAGAGAGATGAGAGATAGAGAGAGATAGAGAGATAGAGAGATAGAGAGATAGAGAGATAGAGAGATAGAGATAGAGTATGATATATATATATATATATATATATATATATATATATTTTATATTATATATTTATAATATATATATTAAATTTCTTCTCTTCATTGACCATTCAATGGGGTCATGCTGATACTAGTGGACTGTTGATCTAAGGAACTAGAGCCACCCTCTTCCTCCTCGGATCAAACATGATTACAGTATGTTCAGCTTTCTTACAATCTTACTGTGTGATTTGTTGCTAATGTGATGGAGAAAGTGATTCCAAAATTGAACAAAATACTGTGAAGGCCTTTAAACATGCTATTTAATTCTGTATGTACTGTACCTTTCAATCACATTTACAAAAAAAAAAAATACACTGTGTATAGATGAATTTCAAAAGGGAGCTGACTGCATGTAGATGAGCTTTATGAGACAGCTGACTATTTCCCTTTCCTTGGGTGCAGTAAGACCCCTACAGGTTTAGCGCCTTCCCAACAACATTGCCATAATATCAGCCATGGATAAGTACTTACATGATACAGCCCATGGCCCATATATCAGCATCATAAGAATGACCCAACTTGTTCAACACTTCTGGTGCTATGTAATTCGGTGTTCCACATATTGTTCTGCAAGAAGAAAAATCACGAATATATATAACAATTACTGAAGTCCTAGGCTTCACCTCAAACATTAATAATGAATACACAATACACTCATTTATTCTGTATATTACTGTAGTTATATATTATATATATATATATTTTATATATATATATATATATATATTATATATATATTATATTTTATTTATATATATATATATATATATATTATATATATATATATATATATATATAATATATATATATATATATATAAATATTTTTTTATAATTATAAGTTTTTAATTTAGTAATTTATACAGGAGAAGGGGTTACTAGCCCCTTGCTCCCGCTATTTTAGTCGCCTCTTACAACACGCATGGCTTGCGGAGGAAGTATTCTGTTCCACTTCCCCATGGAGATAAGAGGAAATAAACAAGAACAAGAACTAGAAGAATACCCAGAGGGGTATGTATATATATGCTTGTACATGTATGTGTAGTGTGACCTAAGTGCAAGTAGAAGTAGCAAGACATACCTGTAATCTTGCATGTTTATGAGACAGACAAAAGACACCAGCAATCCTACCATCATGTAAAACAATTACAGGTTTTCGTTGTACACTCACTTGGCAGGACGGTAGTACCTCCCTGGGTGGTTGCTGTTTACCAACCTACTATCTAGGGGGGGGAAAGAAAGATAGAGAGATAGATATATAGAAAGATAGATATATAGAGATAAATATATAGAGAGAGATAAACACTGATCTCTGGCTGAAGAAGACTCGAACCTACGAACCTTAGGACAAGGTACGCAGTGCTTTACCAATCTACCCACACTGGACAATACCTTAGCGTGTAGCATGCGCTACACGTTTGATCCAAGGCAGCCAGCTTTCAGGGAGAAGGCTTACAGCTTTTCATCTCATCCCCTGTATGCATCAGCCTTACTAGAGATTTTAACAATGCAAGGAATTCGCAAGAGCAGGCGAAATATACACAAACACTGATCTGTGGCTGTAGGAGACTCGAACCTACGCTTGCTCTTGCGAATTCCTTGCATTGTTAAAATCTCTAGTAAGGCTGATGCATGCAGGGAATGAGATGAAAAGCTGTAAGCTGGCTACACGCCAAGGTATTGTCCAGTGTGGGTAGATTGGTAAAGCACTGCATACCTTGTTCCAAGGTTCGTAGGTTCGAGTCTCCTTCAGCCAGAGATACACAGTGTTTGTGTATATTTCGCCTGCTCTTGCGAATTCCTTGCACACGTACGTGCGTGTGCGTGTGCGTGTGCGTGTGTGTGTGTGTGTGTGTGTGTGTTGTGTGTGTGTGTGTGTGTGTGTGTGTGTGTGTGTGTGTGTACATTTTCAATCCAGTACATTAGAGCAATTAATCGATACAGTTAAATTCATGAGACAGTGACTGCGAGTCCGGCTAATTTTTCAGTTAATCCCCCGAGATCAAAAGGTTTAAATCTAATCTAATAGCTCATATAATAAAACTATTAGCTGACATCAACCAAATCTTCAAATGGGCCACTCAAAATAATGTGAAGTTCAACGAGGAGAAATTTCAACTACTCAGATACGGAAAACTTGAGGAAATAAAAAATGTATCAGGGTATACAACAAGTTCTAACCATACAATAGAGCGAAAAAAGAACTGAAGGACCTGGGAGTGATAATGTCAGAGGCTCTCGCCTTCAAAGACCACAACAATATATCTACCTCATCTGCTAGGAAAATGACAGGATGGATAATGAGAACCCTCAAAACTAGGGACGCCAAGCCCATGATGATCCTCTTCTCTCTAAGCTGGAATACTGCTGTACACTAGTGGCCCCCTTCAAGGCTGGAGGCACTGCAGACCTGGAGAGCGCACAACGAACTTTCACGGCACACAAAAGTACGATAGGCACCTAAATTACTGGGAACGGTTGAAGGTCCTTGATCAGTATTCCCTGGAACGCAGGCGAGGGAGATGATAATATACACTTGGAAGGTCCTGGAGGGATTTGTACCAAACCTGCACACGAAAATCACTCCCTATGAAGCAAAAGACTCGGCAGCAGATGTAACATTTCCCCGATGAAAAGCAGGGGCGCCATGAGTACACTGAGAACACAATAAGTGTCTGGGGCCCAAGACTGATCAACTGCCTTCCAGCATACATAAGGGGAATTACCAATAGACCCCTGGCTGCCTTTAAGAAGGCACTGGAGAGGCACCTAAAGGCTGTGGATCGTACGTCAGTTTGCGTGCGGCCAGCAGTAACAGCCTGGTTGATCAGACCCTGATCCACCATGAGGCCTTGTGCTCTGACCGAGCCGCGGGGGCGTTGACCCCCGAAACCCTCTCCAGGTAACTGAACTGAGGCAAAAAAGGACCTAGGGTCTTGCCCAGGCGAGAACAAATACTACCATCACATTCTCCTAGAGAGAAGATATTAGCTAACTTATGTAAAGTAACCATTATAGGCTACGACTCCCCAAAATATTCGCTCTCACATTCCCGATGAGAGAGGAGAGTTTAAGGCTAACTAAAATTTGGTAGAGACTAGTATACCTAGGGAGGAGCAGAGTCATACTACAACATATAGAACACATAGTAACTGAAATAGTGAAGAAACATCGCGATATCCGTGGTTAAGAGCAGCCTGGTATTAAGACATGTGGAGCTGAACACAAACCTAGGCTGGAAGGACTGAATACCTCGTACCTACATCATTACTTGTTTGTGTACCTGTCTGAAGAAAGTGAGAAGTGTCACAATTAAAGATAAACTGTCGTACATTCGTTTTTTATCTATTTGTCGGTCAGGTACTGACCAGCCGGGCTGTGGCTCATACATCTTCGTGCGGCCGGCAGTAACAGCCTGGTTGATCAGTCCCCCGATCTACCGTGAGGCCTGGTCAAGGACCGGACCACGGGGACGTTGACCCCATGAACACCCTCCATGTATACTGTATACCACTAGTATGATTGATCCTAGTACTCACACATTCCTGTTGTCGTCGACGCGGGTAGCGAGGCCAAAGTCTCCTATCTTCATCAGCATATCTTCAGTGAGGAACATGTTGCCCAGTTTGAGGTCCCTGTGTATAACTTGCTGCTGGTGCACGTACGCTACACCTTCCGCCAGTTGACGCATGTAGTAGCGCACCTCAGGCTCCGTCAGCGTGCGACGGTGCTTCAACACGTGCACCAAACTCTGCCAGGAAGGAGAAAAGATAATTAAGTGCAAAATCTTTTCAAGGGTCATCGGTGTGACGATTGTCTACCAGAGGAAGGAATAAGTTGCTGCTTGAGTTATAAAAACCCTGTAACCTTTCAGGTCATTCAGCGCTGCTAACCTAAAAGTTAAATACACCCCAAATACACTCAAGTCAAAGCTATAATAGAAAAAACAAACTATTCAAACAATAAGTACACAACAAAATGTTTTAACTAGTCAAAATAACCCACATCAATTAAAAATAGAACATGCTAGAACTTGCCCGGGATCCTAGTCACTAATGGTTGTGTCTAGAGAAATATTCCAGTTTCACAGTATAACCATGAGCATCATTTATCCACATGCTGTATAGCCCTTGTGGCTTAGCGCTTCTTTTTTATTATAATAATAATTTATCCACACGTATAGTATTCAATAATGAAGACATCGTTGGTTTCCTGACGTTCTCCATCAAGCATGTTTTCCGTTACCTGGCAGTCTTTACACACATACAGTCACATCTGCTTAGGCTTTTTTTTTTTGTTTGTTTAGGGCGTAAGAATTAGTTTGGGTAAATTTATTTTACCCTCACCTATAAAAGAGTAGATATCAGCGGAAAGGAATGACCTGGGAGATAGCATTACACCAAACCTACTGAGGGAAGGGCACATCAACCGTATGACTTAGGGAACCTTCAGTAACCTCAACACTAAATGTTTTCGGACTATACACAACTTAGACCCATCTTGGAATATACCAGCACGTATTCCCCGTCTGAGTAAGCATGTTGGAAGACTGGAAAGGTTTGTAAGACGAAAGGAATTGAACCTGATCTCCCTAGAAAAGAGGAGACATTATGATGACGTATAAAATATTCTGGAGGGATTCATAAGGCGAACAAAGATAGACTTTTCACAATGCGACGGTACATGGATAGCAAAAAATTACAGAAGAGTTATAAAGATGTAAGTAAGAACTTTTTCAGTCTCTGGGTAATAGTAAAGTGGAATGACCTGGATATGGAAAAGGAGGCGAACTCTATACCTTGTTTTAAGAGTAGATATGACAGGGCTCAATAGGCCAGACACTATTAATACAGGTCTATGAAGTTTTGAGAGGCGGGGCCAGTAGCAGAGACTGTACGCCAGCAAAAATAAATTTTGTTTCGATGCCATGACCGCAACACGGGGAGGCTAAATCCACAGAAGAACAGCTTTCACACCTTACTGCATACTGCCAAAATATCCTTCCTCCATGTTACGAAGTCATCCCGCCAATCACGAATTTAAAGTTAACCCCTACTAACTCACACTTACAAACACGTATTCTTCAACACAACAGATCGCCATTTCTGCACCCCTCTTCCTTCCACGTTACCAGAGTCCCGAGGGGACAATGTAAGACAGGGGGATAAGGTAATAGAGGAAGAGTAAGAGGGAAAGCAAGGTGGAGGAGGGGCAGGAGGTAGACGGGAGCCACAACAGTACATTAGAGCAATATTTTCGTGTTTATTTTCAATAATTCTTCCCTACCAAATCCCTTAATCTACATTACCTTCCCGCCCTGACGTCCCTTACCCATGTGTATTTCAGCGCTGATTATTAGTTTTTAATTGTAAATTGAGCCACATCTTCAATAAAATCAGCATCCGAGAGCATTTATTTCCTTAATCCTTTTAAGTCGAGTGTTTCAGTTGGTAAGTACCACCTTAGGTTTCCTTGGCATCCTCAAGAAATTCTCTCTACTTTTCTCAAGATGCTGATTTCCTCATGGAAGTCTCTGCTGTTCAGTTCATTATTTACTGAAACATGGTTCGTGCAAACCGTGGAGTTAACATGAGAGCCTGATGATAGGAAGGCCGGGCGTGGCCGAACAGATGGTCGACGGATACTTGGCCGATAGACATTTCACCGACGGACATTTCACCAAACGGAAAATTAGGTTAGGTGAAATGTCCGCCGGTCAAATGTCCGTCGGTCAAATGTCCGTCGGTCAAATGTCCGGGAGCCAGGCTGGGTGACAAGAGCCAGGCAAACTTGTGTATAACCAGACACCTTCACCCTATTAGGCTGCCGCCTGCACACTACTATGCCATCACTCACGCAAAACACTACCAGCCCCACACTTCAAACATCCTGGAAGCTACTACACTGAGCAAGTGTCAGTGTGTACACAACACCTTACTTGAGAGCAACTCCCACCACAGCAATGCTACTTCACGCCCTCCCACCCATGATGCATTTCTCTAGGCAATGGTCAGGCGGGAGAACATTGTTAGGGGACAGCAAGGGGAAGTGTGAACAGTGGTATAGCCTGAGACCTGCAACTAGCACTCGCATCCCCTCGTTGTTCACACAAACTATTCCTGTTATGGCAGTGTTATTTATGTTGTTGATCGCTCATAGCTCTGGCACCGTGAATCCTTCCAGTGGTCCTTACCTAGATGTGTGGTGGTGGTACCTGATAGGGACGGGATTAAGACAGCACAAGGACACCCAACGCTTGCAAAGACATACCAAGAAGGACGGACGCACCTCTGCAAACAGTGGTACTCTCATAACCACTACACTGTACCTCGCCCGACAGCCACGCTAAATCCGCAACATTTTTCTCTCTCGCTTCTGACTCCCAACTAATAAATCATAGGAAGCGGCCGGGAGGAGAAAAATGAAGGGAAGGGGGATGTAGGAGGAGACCAAAAGAGGCGGCGGCTAAGGATACGGAAAGAGTCGGGAGGACAAATTCGAATTGTGACGAGACCCTTAAAGAAGTAATGTGGGTAACTGGGCTCGAGTCTCCAGCTCACGAACCAGCCACTGTAGGAGACCAAGAGACGAAACGGGAGACTTTCGACTATGAGAGACTTGGTAGTAGTAGTACCACCACCACACTGAGAAAGCTGCTAGCCACACTTCTGCTTTAGATCTTTATTGTAAGTTGCTAGCTACTAGTAAGTTTAGCACTTAGCTTAAGACTGTAGTTTGCACCTATGTATAGTTTACAGAGCCTGGTCAGTTATCATTTCCACTTTCTAGGCTGAACTTGAGATGGCTGGTGTTCGGAGTGGATATTTGACTGACACTAATTACTTAATATGTCAGTCAGGTAAGGCTCTTTCTCGACACAGACAACCAGGAGGAAACTAAAGACATTTTCGGCTTTCCGGGAGACTGAAATATCACCACCAAACACTCAAAACAAACAAACACACACACACACACACACACACACACACACACACACACACACACACACACACACACACACACACACACAGACAAAGACAAAGACAGGATGTTCCAGAGACTGGACACAGCAACAAGGGGACACGGTTGGAAGCTGAAGACACAGATGAATCACAGGGATGTTAGGAAGTATTTCTTCAGCCACAGTAGTCACGAAGTGGAATAGTTTGGGAAGAGATGTAATGGAGGCAGGATCCATACATAGCTTTAAGCAGAAGTACGATAAAGCTCATGGTTCAGGGAGAGTGACCTAGTGGCGACCAGTGAAGAGGCGGGGCCAGGAGCTTGGACTCGCCCCTGCAACCTCAACTAGGTGAATACAACTAGGCGAGTACACACAACTATCAATCAATTCAGACTGTCACTACTGGAAGGGAAGATTTAACGTTTCCACTGTTACAGAAATTTCTTGTACTTATTTCTTGTATTTATTTACAAGCAGTTAAAATACACATGTACAGACGACTCTTATACAGGAATCACAATCAAAATTTAAGGACGTCCTTTCATACCAATCCTCGTATGAAAAGCGCCACTAATTCCCTTTATCCCAGTGAAGTGCTCTGTAAAAGAACCAAAAAATTTTAAATACCTTCCCCTCCCCTTGGATCAAACTCGATTGCCTCCCATTCCCAACACGCTGTATAACCCTCACACAGGTTTACCTTTCCCCCCATGAATAAGATTAATCTCACCAATAATCTCACTAACAGACAATTTAACTCCGCATGTTGCACAATACCGGGTGTTAAAATTAAGAGTAAAATTCCAAAACTACACGGGATTAGATATAGTAACCTTCGTACATCAGTGTTTAGAATTTAGAATTAAACCACAATAATCTAAACATTACCCTGGTGACATCTTTTAAAGTGTACGTACGATTACTTAATGTCACTAAGTCACCATTCCTGAGTCATTATGTACATGAATGGTCTACAGTACCGACAAGGTGAAAATAAACATGTGCAACATTTGGGTATCTTTATTGTAGGCGTTTCGCCCATCAAGTGACTATCAATACAAATTCAAAAACATGACTAGAAGACAGTAGAACTATACAGCTCTGTCTTCCATTTATGTCCTTGAAGTTTTGATATAGTCACTGGATGGTGAAGCGTCTACAATAAAGATACCCAGATGTTGCACACGTGACCAATTTTTATCAAGAGTTATTGTAACTGTTGAAAACGAATTTAATATGTTTGATATTGTATCAGCGTGAGGACGTAGAGTACCTCTCGCAACAGTACTAACTAGTTGGCGGCGGAGATGATAATGCGTCATCTATGTGTCCAGGAATATATATGAGGACAGCTTTCATATTCAGCGCTTTAAACATATATCATTTCTACGATCATCAAACTGACACTGTCAACAACAACTTGGCACTGATGTCAACAATTCACTCTCACATTACACACATCACAATCACAAAGCGGGTAAAACAATTTTTTTTTCACATTCCACAATCCATATCCAGTGTTAGTAAATTTAGACGAAAGGGGATATATCCCCATTATTTATGCCGAAACAGATAAGTAAAATTACAAATAGACCCCTGGCAACCTTCAAGAAAGAGCTGGACATATACCTAAAGTCAGTACCCGATCAGCCGGGCTGTGGTTCGTACGCTGGACTACGTGCGACCAGCAGTAACAACCCGGTGAATCAGGTTCTGATCCATCGGGAGGCCTTGTCAAGAACTGGGTCGCGGGGGTCTTGACCCCCGGAACTCTCCAAGTAAGTAGG